AGAGAAACACAATGAATTTATCAATATTAGTAGTACACAAGAATTTTTTTTAGAAAAAAAATGCTTGCAAAAAAAGGTATTAGTAACTCTGCTAACATAGATATTTAATCATATTACAGGTAATGACAGAATAAAGATTAAGTAATGAATTCAACATAACGTTTAGGAAAATGTACATGTCTTCCTGAACGAGTTGTTTTCGTAGAAGTTAAAGTGTCGGAACTAGGATTTAAATTTGTGGGAACTGTAACCTTAGAACTGTCTGTTTTACCGAATATTGATTTCGTCGGGGTTGGTGAAGAATTATTTGGAAACACTGGAAGCTGCGTTGTGTGATCGCCGCTGTCTTTAGACGGCTTTCGGCTGTCATGTGTTTCAGATTCTATAAAAGCAGGTTTTATCCTGTCGATCGAAACTGTTTCTTTTTTTCCGTTCTTATTGATTGTGAAATATTTTGTTTGCCTCTCAACTACTTCAAATGGTCCTTCATAAGGATGTTGTAGAGGGCGTCTTACGGAGTCAACACGAACAAATACAAATTTACACGTATTTAGATGTTTGCTAACTTGCTCTTTTAAGACAACTGGCCGAGGTGCAACAGGCTTAATGTTATTCATATGGCTCATTAGTCTTTCGCAAAAAGAAGTGGGATCCGTACATACGGGTTTGCCATTATGCGTCACTAGCTGCCCCGGTAAGGTTAAATTAGCTCCATAGACGAGCTGTGCCGGAGTACATTGTAGGTCTTCTTTAATTGTGGAACATATGCTTAGTAAAATAAGAGGTAGAGATTCACTCCATCTAGAAACATCAGGTTGTACCATCAATGAGCTTTTTAGTTGTCTGTGGAATCGTTCCACTAGTCCATTCGCTGCTGGATGGTATGCTGTTGTAGTGATGTGATGGATTCCTAAAATGCGGGTGAATTCATTGAAGAGGTGAGATTGAAACTGTGAACCTCTGTCAGAAGTAACTGTAGAAGGTACACCAAAATTAGCGATCCATCTGTCGAGGAATACAGCAGCAACATTTTCCGCGGAGATATCTTTTATTGGGCATGCAATTGGCCATCTAGTGAAACGGTCCACTGCAGTAAAAATGTAAGTGAATCCATTAGATGGAGGCAGAGGACCAACTAAATCAACATGAACATGTTGAAAACGATGGTCAGGTAGACTAAATGCTGACGGTGTTGTAATCGTATGTCTATGTATTTTACTGCGTTGACATTGTACACAAGTCCTGGTCCATTGTTTTATATTTGCATTCATCTTTGGCCAGACAAATCTTTCGGCAATCAGTTTTACAGTAGCACGAATCCCTGGATGGGATAGTGAGTGAAGACAATCAAAAACTCTTTTTCTGTACACTATTGGCACAAAAGGTCTGTGCGTTCCAGTAGAAGTATCACAAATGATAGTAGAGTCAGAATGCGGTATAGGAACACTTTTTAAGGACAAGCTCGAACTTTGTTTACAAGCATCAAGGTCTGGATCATCTGTCTGCAAACGTGCCATGTCTAATAAATCGATTCCTTTGGTGAAGGAAATTGCATCGACGTTGAAACGTGACAAAGTATCCGCAACAACATTTGACTCGCCTTTTATAAACTGTATGTTGGTCGAAAATTGGGAAATATAATCCAATTGTCGCATTTCTCTAGGGGAATAACGGTCGCTTTTCGCGTTAAAGGCATAGGTTAAAGGTTTGTGATCAGAGAGTATCACAAAGTCTCTGCCTTGCAGTAAATGGTTAAAATGTTTAACAGCTAGATAAATAGCCAATAGTTCTCTACCGAAAGTGCTATATCGAGTTTGGGTTGGTTCTAGCTTCTTTGAAAAGAAGGCAAGTGGTTTGACCTCATTATTAACTCGCTGTTGTAGTACTGCACCTACTGCTGCCTGTGATGCATCTGTACACAGAATTAGTGTTGCTTCCGGATCAGGGCTTAAGTAGGTCAGCATGGTAGTAGAAGCGATTGCTGTTTTAGCTGCAGAAAAGGCATCTTTCGCTTGGGAGGGTAATGTGAACTTTTTGACTTTACCTTTTAACACCTCCGTCAAAGGTTGTAGGATGGCTGAGCAATGTGGAATAAAGCGACGATAAAAATTTATCATCCCTAAGAAACGTCGAAGTTTATTCCATGAGTCTGGTTCTGGAAAATTCTTGATGGCTTCTATTTTTGTATCCAAAGGTTTAATTCCACGTTTGTCGATCAAGTGACCTAAAAACTCTAAACTCTCAACTCCGAAAATACATTTGGATGGGTTAATCGCTATGCCATATTTCTGAAATCTTTCGAATAATTGATGTAGGTGATCAGCGTGTTCATGAATCGAACTGCTAGCTATTAAAACATCATCAATATACACGAAAACAAAATCTAGTCCCTTAGTGACCTCATCCATAAATCGTTGAAATGTTTGTGCGGCGTTCTTTAATCCAAAAGGCATTCTTAGGAATTCAAACAAACCAAATGGAGTAATGATGGCTGTTTTTGCTATGTCCTCGGATGCTACTGGAATCTGGTGGTACGCTCGCACAAGATCAATTTTAGAAAAAATTTGCTTGCCATGCAAAGTGAGAGAAAAATCATGTAAATGAGGGATTGGGTAGCGATCCGGTAATGTCAGGTTGTTCAATGATCTATAATCACCACAGGGTCGCCAATCTTGGTCTCGCTTGGGCACCATGTGGAGTGGGGATGCCCAGGGGCTACTTGACGGACGTATTATACCTAGCTGCATCATATGATCAAACTCAGCTTTTGCAACATTCAGTTTGTCTGGTGGTAATCGGCGTGGACGTGCCGAAGTTGGTTGACCTTTTGTGATGATCCGGTGTACTACAGAATGTTGGACAGTGTTTTCACTGTAGTCTGGTTTCGTTATTTTGGGAAATTTAGATAGAATGGTGGCGAATATGTCGTTCCCTGGGGTGTCAATTTTAATACTATGTATGTGGTAGTCCGACTGAATTCCCTGGATTTGAAGGTTCGTGCAGGAATCAATAAGTTTTCTTCTCTTAACGTCAACTAGTAGGTTGTAGAAACTTAGAAAATCTGCACCTAGTATAGGGTGACGGACATCCGCAATAATAAACACCCAGGTTAAATTACGTCTAATTCCCAAGTCTAATGTTAGAAATTGTTCGCCAAATGTCTTTATTTCGGTTTTATTAGCTGCCCTTAGGGTATATTTTCCACTCTTAGCAATAGGTTTATTGGCTAAGGTAACTGGGATGACACTAACTTCAGCTCCAGTATCTACTAAGAATTTGTACCCTGAAGTTTTATCAAGAACGTGGAAAAGACGAGTAGGCGCACGACCAGAAATATTTGTCGCTACCATGGTTTGGTTGACACGTTTTGGTGAGGAAAATGACTTGAAAAATTTACAAGACGTAACACATTTCCTAGCTTTGTCACCATATTTTTTATGGTACCAACATATGTTGTCGTCGTTTTTGTTTCCTTTTGAGTTATTTCGATTTTTACTCCCTCGAGAACAAGAACGAGGTCTTGTAGATGTGAAACTGGAGATTAATAATTGTAGTGCATCCAGTTTATTTTCAAGACTAGCGACAGTTCGTTCATGTTGTGCTCGTAGTTCGCCTAGTTCAGCAGTTAACGATGCTATGGTGGGAGTTTGCTTATCGTTCGAAGTTTCTAATATTGCCTGTACGTAAGGTGTTGTACCGGGTGTAACTTCTAAAATTTTATCGGCCATGTTAGCAAGACTCTCTAAATCTGATGTTTGGCTAGAGGCACAAAGAATTTGCCTAACTACTGTTGGCAAACGTTGTAGCCAAATCTCCTTGAGGAAGGCGTCATCAAATTTATATGGGCCAGCTAATTGTCTCATGTGTCGTAATAATTGAGACGGTGGTTTGTCGCCTAGCTCACAATGGTGCAGTAATTGCTGTAATCTCTTTTCATCAGATAATGAGGTACGTTGAATAATTGCCTGCTTCAATTGATCATATAGATTCGGTGCAGGGATATTATCTATCAAATCTGACACCTCAGATGCAACTTCAGTGGGTAGTAATCCAAGCACAAAAGAGTATTTAGATGCCTGTGAGCGTATGTTGCGACGCTGAAATTGTACTTCTACTTGCGCAAACCAAATGCGAGGATTTAATCGGCTGAATGGGGGCACATTTATCAAATTTAGAGCATGTAGCTCTGCTGAAATGTTATCCTGGCTGATGCCTTCAGTTTCGGATGAGTACATTACAAATATAAGAAAATTTAAATACTACCAAGGGTAAAATAACGCCGTAATGTCTGTAAGTGAACTCAAAAATAGGTTAAGAGAGAGAAAAAAAATTTTACGGGCTCACCAAATTTGTGGTGGTCCCCAAACAAAAGGAGCTTACACAAAATATATTGATACACTAGGTTAACACTGATATACCAAAACGGATTAATGATTAAGAAACCTAGAGGTCTGTCCGTTAGTAAAAACAAAGGTAATGAAATACCGTTAGCAATACAAAATGTATATTAAACAAAACAGACGCTAACAGTTACTATAGAATGAATGTTACTTGTTAACTGCCTCGTGAAGACAACGACCACAAACTGAGTTCACTTGGTTGACAGGTGTTCCTCTGCAAGTGACTGCACCAAAGACGTAGTGAGGAAGACGGAGTCCGATAGTATTATACAATAGTAATCCATGCCCAAAAGTCCAACGTTGAGTGGAAAGGCCTATAATGATGTTATAATACTATTATAGTCTTCAATCAAAACGGTGGCCAATAAAACAGAAGAACAAACGGCGTAGGTATTGTTCTATATTTTAAACAACCCGGTAGTAGAAGTGTATATCATTCATCGAAACAATTATCATCGTCTTTTTAACAAGTGATACAGCAAAACAACAGATATTAGATAAAAATGTGGTTACAAATAAAGTGTGACAAATTCGAGAAAAAATGTGGTTTTTATTTTTGTTGTTACAAAAATCACTGAATATATGTCACCATAAGGTGAAGTAAAATCTGGCGAGATTTCAAGTAGTTCCGTTACTGTCCTACAATTACAAGCTGCTAATGAGATTGATTGGTTTCAACACTTGGGATATTTGACATAAGAAGGTTGTACTTACAAACCAAACATAAACTTGCAAACTGCTTGGGGTTATCCTGTCCTCAATACAAATTTATGGAGATGGTTGAACAGTCTCCACGTTAGATTCGATTACAGCAATATATATTTTTTATAGTTATATCTAGTTTAATGTCAACTCCCATGAGTTCAAGTCTTGGATGTGCACGCTTAGAGCTAGTGAGTTAATTTGTTAGGTTAGAATGGTGTAAAGTCAAACTATCACAATGTCCTTACTTCGGGGAAAAATGTGTCCGTTCCGAGGAAGCCGTTATAAAAAAGTTTGGGGAAATGGCATAAAAGGCCCAAAATTCACCCACATGTGGCGGAAATCCCCCAAGCTTTGGAAAAAACTGCTAACTGTGATTGGACTTTTGGAAACCCCGAAATTTCCCCAAAATCGTGTGATTGGGATTTGCGTCCTAAGATATATATTCTAACCTTTGATAGTCATTTTAAGAGCGTAAAATAATTCATCTGACTTCTCAAGGTCACAAACTTTCATCCTTTAAGGAAAAATTGCTATTCTACAGTCAAAACTCGTGATCTAGGCGGCGAGTTCGGTGATTATTTAATTATCAAATGAAGTAAATGTTTAGTGGACTCAGTTTTTCAATTAAGAATGTATTTCATAATTGCGAGCTCAGGGGTATACTTGATAGAATATATTGGTAATTCTGAAGTAAGTTAATTGTGATGAGTGGTTTTAGTTGCGGTCTTTCCTCTACATTCGTACTTGTTTAGCCTGTCATATGAGTTGCGAGAGAATCCGGGCGAGACTATAATTTATGGATGACTCTTAAGCGACGCTAAAATGACCTTGAATTGTCCACCTACTTACCAGGGTTGAATGGGGTTTGTAGATTAGTGTGAGTAATTAGGATTTGCAGCTGACCGTTAGGGTTAGAAATTACATTTGACGTTTTCATCATGAACTGACATAAACTATAGTGCCAAAGTGATATCTAACCAAATAATTGAATGAATTAAAGACTTGCTATCTTAGATATTATTGGTTCGTCCATAAATTATAGTCTCGCCAGAATTCCCTCATAACTACACCTACACTCTTTTCTAAGCTCTTCTCGCACGATTAAAAAACTCGGTTTCTAAGTGTCTATACAGTTAATTTTGGTTGTATGAGTTGCAGTTGTGTAAAACTCTGAAGTTCTAATGCCCTTCGCGGTCGTTGCGATCACATCTTGAAGGTCTTGGTGTTACCATGTGATAAAAATGATAAAACCCGTCGTCTTACAAACTGATCACTTTGTTCTCCATTCGAGAGAGAAGAGTCGAGATTTCCATTTGTTCTTCAGTCCCAAATGAAAATCGCAAGTAGGACAATTTAAAACCGTAATCAATGTAGTCTTTGCCCGTAACTCGAATTATTTATATATGTCACTATTTTATAAGCATACGAAATTTCGGCTGATGTATATGTTTTTCGTTTCCACCTCACTAATAATACCAAGTTATGGTACTTCGCATATATTTTCTTGAAGTTGGGTTTTAAACCTGCTGTTAAGGATCTATACAGTAATAAATACTATTTCTTTAAACAAAGTTTTGTTTCATATAACAGTGCATCTTCTATCCAACGTCACCGCTTATCGTTGAATAGTAAAAAAACAGCTCAAGTAACTGTTCAAGTTACTCATCAGGGCTAACCAAAATAGGTGTGAATGTTAACGGTGACTCATATATATAAGCTTTTATTAAACTGATGAATGCAATCAATGGGAGTGGAAAGTTACTTGTAGGTCGGCGAAACATCATGGAAATGAGTACACTTGAGGTAGTGCACACTGGAGCACCACTACTCCATTTTGACAACGCTCTGGTAAACTGGATCGTATGTAAGAATCTAAACTTCACATAAACCCATTCTTGGAAAAAAATATGTACATTTAACACTCAAATTACTTCATTCTCTATTATTTTGTTATTAAAATTGTCTAATTTATCCACATCTGCAGTATCCTAGTTTAGTGGGCTACTAGATTGTGTAGTTGGATCTGTAATCGTCGAAGAATTGTCTCCAGAAGTATTTTCATCTATCATTGTGAATTAACACAATAACAAAGGACTTCAGACTTGATAAAGCTCCATCTTACCTCAGGGCCTGACTGACTGGGGATCTATTCCGCTTCTGATTTAGTTCAGTTATTTATTTGAACACATAAATATTGATGCAAAGCAGCACCAAATACATATGCGCCACATAAGTCACTTGATTTGTGTGTGGGTTGTGATACTGCCCGGGTGCCTAGACCGAAGCAGGTCACCTGTCATGATGTCTTTTTGTCCACATAGTTTGCCATTCGCACTCGAAATTTTGGTAAATACTGGCTTTTCCCTAGAAAATGGACTTTTGCACGAAGTCTTCCAATATTCGATAACCTACTAAAGTTCTGGCACTTGGCGTGTATTTCCCTAAAGTTGGTTACACAGTTTTTCAACCTGATTTTACACAACATTAGATAGCGCGGCGTTATTTTACGTTGTGGTACTTTTTTGAAATAAAATGTCATTTATTGTTGAACAAGTAGACCTCCTTAGTACTTTCGTAATCTATTTGCTGCTAGCAATTGGGTTAAAGGTAGACTCTTTAATATTCATGAATTTTAGGTCAATATTAAAGTTATTCTGATAAATTTAAGGTTATAATTTACAAGGACTAACCATTTGTGTGCATTTTTCCTTCCAAGAGATGGTCCCTGTATTTTATTGTTTCCTATCAATTGTTTGTGACAAATGTGATACTAGTTATTGGAAAAAACTCACGCAACGTGGGATTAGTTAAAAATATGATGTCTAGTTGTCAATTATTAACTCTTAGTTTGAGCTACTAAGACTAGATGACAAAGTTCAGGACCGTTGGATGTTTAGTGCAGATTCACCAAATGATTTCAAATGCATAACTGGTTTTTATAACTGTCAGAAACATAAATTCACCGTCTGTGATAAAGATATTTTAGTGATGCTTAATATGATTTGACGTTGTCTAAATGTAGATAAAGACAGCTATATAAAGCCTTTATTATTTTTATCACAACTAGTACACTTTTTATCACACTATCATTTTTAATTTTTAAGTGTTGTTTATTGACGTAATCTGTTTCACTGTTATCACTGACTCATAAACTGCCTTAGTTGGCTCAATAGTTTTACATATGCATACAAATATTAATGTATATTAAAGCCTGATGAGGATCTAATTGAAAGCAATATTGTTTGCTCATTTATGTTGTCCTCATTCACAATATATATATGACCGCAAAGTAAAGTCTCAGTAACATTGCAAAGACAAAATGGTCAGATAAAAAGCTCACAGCCCATGAAGTATTTGTAAATAAAACTAGAATGAGAACCTAAAATATAAGCAAATGTTTATTAGGGTTATATGACTTTTTAAAATTTAGAGATTTTTCCAGATGCTGACTTCGCAATGTCCACTCTTCTCATCATTTCAGCGAAATACACAATGCACACCTGTAGCAGTATCCGATGGCAGTAAGCTAATAGATAATTAATATTATGTAATAGTGAAACTTCTGCGGTATGCTGTTTCTATTGGAGATTCCGATAGAGTTTATAAACTATTGAGATTTTCACATATATCACCAATTGACCATGGTACTGATATGCCTGTTATCTGTAAGGCAGCTGTGAAAGGTATGTGCTACTTAGTTCATTATACTTTCCATACTTACAATTACGTATTATAAATTGTATGTTTATATCCAGTCGTGATAAAAACTAATTAGGGATAATTTATTTTCTTTCAAAACGGACTTGTGATACTGATGAATCGTGTAAATTAGCAGGGTTCTGTTCTATTCTGCTTATACTTCAATGTATTCTATCAGGTTCTTATTTTTTTGTAAGAATGATATGTTGATATACTAACCAGAAATATGCTGGTAGTTTGGTACTGTGCAATTCTCAAAAGTTAATTGTTGGTTGATATTGTACACCAGTTATATTTAATAGTATTTACTCATCAACTTTCAGTCAAATAACTGGTTTTCAGTAGTTCTGTATAGTTCAAGCAAGTTTGATTATTTTCCAATAGTTCATGATATAAGTATTTTGATGGTGCTTTAAGTAAGGTATTATCTTGTGTCTACTTACTGTCTAAAACCTTTATGTTTCTTAGGTTATACGGATATTGTTGGTCTCCTTATCAGACATGGTGCATCAGCAAATGCAAGGTCAACTGATGGTTCTACACCCTTAATTTATGCTGCTGATGGTGTAAGACAATTACTTTTCTTATCCTATTTCCTTGACGCTCAATATACGCATTATAACATTTTATATTGAAATAATAGAGATTTTTAGTCCAAGTGGATAAATTTGGTTGTCTTCTCTAGTTAGTGGTTTGATTACGTATTTCATATGAAGTAAGTGTTGATGGCGTTATCCAGAACAACAATGAAAGCTCATCCAAACCACTCAGCTTAGAGGACATAACACAGTCTAACACATTTCTTGTTCGAGAATCCAGTAAAAAGCGTAGTTAACACCAAACTGTTAAGAAAATAGTCACATCCAATCTTGCCAGTTTATAAATTAACTTGAGGATCTTTATTCATATTAAGGGCATAATTCCTTTGGTTGGTTGATTTCCAGCTTGTCCTTGAATGATTTGATGTCGAGATTCCATAAAATCTATTGAGGTTGTGACCTCAGTTTTGCCTCAAGTTAAGATTTTTTACTTTCAGCAGATTTATGGAGTCAGGTATTTTTAACTCTTACAATAATTGTTCCAGAGATTATTCGATACCTTTGCAAATGGGTCTCAGATTGTTCCTAAACACCTAACTACAAAAAAGTGAAGAAAAATCCCATCCATTAACGAGCGTTTTACAACCACGTTTCTATAGCATCTGCCAAGGAATTTCACTGCCCATATGTAACGAATTACCTGACCTAAGTATTAATACAAAATTGAGCGTCCGTTGATTTGACCAGTTCAATAAAAAGTTTGTACAGGGCCATTTGAAACCGTTATTCCTAACCATTAATGTAGACAGGCTTCACTGTTTCGTAGCGTAGATTTATAGATTAAAAACTCGAGAATATTAATTCTTTTTAAAACTACTTTCATTGTTTCTGACACTTAGGTAGTATCACAGTCATCACACATATCATGATCTCAAGAAAGTTAAGGAAACTTTCAAGACCGGGAGTCAGTCAACGAAATTGTCTGGTTCTTAGTCTTTGTAAAATTGCTTGCATTCAGTGGCTACACAATATTTGTGAAGTTGAGGTCGGAGAACTTTTGCTTAGATTTACTGGAGAACATTCAGCCAGTGAAGTAATCATAGAATACGAACTTTAGTTACTTAGATGCTTTGATTCTTAAGGTTTTTAAATTCTTACTGCATTGGTAAAAATATTAAGTGAGAGAAATCGAGGTTGAAGATGATTTGTTTGATAAGTGAGGTGGGATAAACCGATTAGTTAAGTGGTTTAGATATTATAAGTCTGCCTGCCATTAATTTATGTACATATGTTGTTGACTGATAACGAGTTCATCATATCTAGTTAGCGAATTACCACAAAGTTTAGACGTACCAATGACAGAAAGCACTAATGGATGTCGTTCTACTCATTGTTGTAATTATTTGTCTATTAAACATATTCTAATAAAAGTGTTGTCACCTAGTAATTTTGAAATGATGGATTTTGTGCTTCGATTTTCATGTTTTATATTGCTGTATCATATGAATTCGAACCAAACAAAAAATATAGAGAATTAATATTTTTAACGATTAGTAGATTTCTATAAAACAACTGATGATGCACGCACTTGATTTATGCAGAAGACCTCAATTAACAAGCATACATGAATAAGTGACAAAACCAGCATTTAGCCTTCTGAGGTGATTAGTCATTGGAATGATCTCTTATGCTCATTGCATCAAGCTTTAACTGAAGTGTATGATGCATTTGAAACAATCTTGCCATATTTTGTGGTGTAGCTTTGTAGGATGTGTCATATTACAATCGTTCTCATTTATCTCTAATTTGAGAGGTAATCAAAATATTCAGTCTCACATAAGATGGTTTTTAATAGGATCTAGTACATGGATTATGAAGTGTAAACATCACTATTTCTTACACATTAGCATATTCCCAGAAAGGGACTCTTCCCTTTATGATTGTTTTTACTTTTTTGACTCTTGCCATGAGACACGTAACAGTACACTATTTTATCTAATCCTAGACTGATTAGTTAGTGAGGAAGTAACTATGGTAAACCGTCTTAAGGGCTCGGTTTTCTTGAGTTAGTTCACAGGTTCGGATTCAGTTCCGTCTACTTAGGTTTGCGCATCTGGTTAGTATAACTATTTCGGCTACATAAGAAAGCATAACGCAGAGCCGAGAATGTACGCTGGTAATTGGTAGATGAGCTACCGTTTGAGTTGTACATTGGGTTAATTGTTCTAATCTACAAGAGATGTGAAATTCTTGATTAAAATCACATATTTCCTCTTTTCGAGTCACTTGAACTGATCGCGTGTGGTGTAATTTACACATTTAGAAAAGATAAGTATTAATTTTAAATCAGCTCTTCATTGTAGCTCTAACCTAGTATTTCAGGATTACTGTCGAGTTTGTCGTTAATATAATCCAATATTATCTGCTTATCAAGTACAACTCAAAAGCGTTGTCAACATTTGTGCAACACTGAAATCTACAAGATTTCCACGGTGTAGGAAGAGCAAGTCCTGCGTATCATGCGTCCGCTTTTTCACTGTAAAATGTGTTATTTTAACTTGGAAACTTTGTTCTTTTACTCAAATACGTATTTTTTTAACACATAAAACTAATCTTTTTCTTCAAAATTCAACCATTCAGGGTCATCTCACTGTTTTATCACTGCTGTTAGATGCAGGAGCGTTAGTCAACACTATTAATTGCCATGGTGAATGTGCTCTTACCCGTGTAAGTTTTTATGGGTTAACCATCTGCTTATTTTCATTCTTAGGAAATCTTTTTGAAATATGCATAATTTGAACCATCTTTCCATCGCTTTTTAGGCTACCCGTCGTGGATGGGTTCATTGTGCACGATTTCTCTTAAGCCATGGAGCTAATCCGAATCCGATGCCATCTGATGGGCATACTTTTGTGGTATCACCACTACATTTAGCTCGTCAAATGCATCAAACAGTTATAGAACAAGATATTTTAAAAAGAACAGTTGAGTAAGTATCTAACTTTAGATTGATATTTGTGTTCTTATATTACAATTGTTTCCAACATTAAGATGACTAAAGTTTGGAATAATTTTTGTAGGTAGTTACAAGTTCTTTGTATCAATACCAGTATGCATGTAAGAACTTATGCTACTTGTGAAGCATGCATATACCGTTTAAAAATTGAATCAAAATCTCTTTCATCCTGAAAGCAGTTGTCCTGAAGTAAGTAAAATGATTAGTCTAAAATGCATCGACAGAAAGAGCGACGAAATTCCGGGTTTTAGCCGTCCTTGTAGAGGATATTATTTGTGCTGCAAATAACAAAATGCGATTAACGAACCAAATCTATCCAGATTATTCATATCTGATTGTGGCTAAAACCCTGGTTTTAAACCCTCCCATAACTATTTTAAGGTCTTACGTATTTTTATGCATTGCAAACCATAGTTTTCGTCAGGAGCATTTGGCATTTTAGGTATTCAAGTTAACTGATAAGTGACGATTTTAACTGTATTAAGTATTTACCCTTAATAATATGAAACTACTTTGTTTAGGATTGACAAAGCTGTTGCTGAAATAGTAGCAACGACTCTACCAAATCATTTGACTTTGATAGAACCAGGACATTTACCAGAGACAATGTCTTTGAGTTTGTTTCCTGTTCAAATCTTCTCTTCAGAAGAGCTTAGTCGCTTTGTTTTGTACTTTAAAACACCTCCTGGGTATGGTTCACGCAGTGTACAAATGGGAAATAAAGAATCTTCCAGTGGATCGACACCGTCTGACGAGCTGATATTCGTATATGTGATTCGAGCGCAGTTATCAGTACGTTTTGTGTAATATCATTAAATTTTTTACTTTTGCATTCAAAGTAAGTAATAAGCGATTATTTTATTACAAATGTGTTTTCAACATACATATTTTCAACATCCAATTATGGACGCGTGTAACGCCTTTTGTCTACTACTAACAAATATAGTAGTTTTCCAAACACAAATAGCCGTTTTTATACCCTTGAACTATTAAGTTCGCAGATAACTTTATTAGAATTAGTACCGACAGTACAATAGTTAGATTTTCTCGTTTGTGGTGTTAATATTGCTTACACACAACAGCCTAAAATAATAGATCAAAATGGACAAGACAGTAAAAAACAGTCACAATGAAGCAACTACTCATTGCTGCATCACCAATAATTTTGTTTAAAACTCTATTTAACATTAGTACGTACCATGTCTGTCATTATCTAAGCCACTGTATGTAACTTTTATCTCTGGGACTTTTTTTCATAGCACTGATTCCTTTTCGCTTATTTCTATATTCTACACTGTTATCCTTTATTAAACTGCATAACTGATATAGACGTCGAAAATGATCAAACAACTTACCTGTCAAGTTATTACTATAATCATTATTTAAGCACAAATATGCAACACAATAAGAAAATAAGATTGTGAAGAAATAAAGGTAAGTATCGTAAATACATACAATAAGTGAATGAAAGTGAAAAGTAATAGAAGAAGCAGTTCCGTTATTAAAAATACAACCACAAGGAACTTTTTAAGTCAAAGAAGTTCCTCTGACTTTTTTGTAGAAAGTTATGCCAAGATCGTTACTTGCTTCCATTCTGACCTGTCTGATAACGTCTCAAACCAATTTGTTGCATTATCTCTTGAAGCCCAACCAGGGAGTGCTGAAGTAGCACTGAACGACTGGATCGTCATTAGTAGTCAGTTATGTGCTATTAAATTAAAAAGTTCCATCAAAGTGATAAGACATCGGTATGAGGAACGATAGAATTTCGTCACATCCGCCTACACTCTGACAGATCGCAGCTCGAATGCTATGAAGAATGAGTTTTACCACCAATTAACTGTTCTACAGAAAGCACATTCGACGGATATTGTGGTGCTCAACGGGGACTTGAATGCTCAGGTCGGGCGGCTAGGCACAGAAAAGAGTCGTTTAGGTGGCCGATGGAAACTTGTTAGTTAGGTCATATAACGATGACCGTCTACTGCAATTGTGCGCATACTACCTGTTTCTGGTTAGCACTAACTACCGACACAGCCATCGCCGACGTGCTACCTGGCCCCCTACCTCTCCATCTCAAGTCTGATTACATTCCGACCAGCTGCCACTAACGTCGTTATGTACAAAACTGCCGCTCCTTCTAAAGTACTTGTCTAGACGCTGACCATGCTCTTGTTTGTGCTAATCTTACCTTACACTTCAATGGCCAATAAATTCATCATCCTAAACGGATCGATTTCAGCGAATTGGTTGCAGCTTCTGTTGTAGCTAAATATCAAACCGAGCTAGGTTCAAGGCTAGCTATCAACCCACTGAAAAATATAGATGAGCATTGGTTTCAATTACATGACGCTATGAAAATGGAGAGTAAAGTCGCTTGCGGCTTCGCGAAATGTCCCGCTTATAAGCACTGGATTTCTACAGGCTCCTTACAACTCATTGAAGCCCGTCTGTCTACTCCGGCCAACCACGAGTTTGACCGTACATGAAGACTGTTACGAAATGAAATTGGGAAAAGGGCCGATAATCCTGGTGGCCCGAGTGTGCCGATGAGTTGGAGGTAGCAGCCGCATCTGGTGACTGCCGGAAACTCTTCCAACTCATCCGAGTCACTGGCAGTGAGAATCCTGGTGTGTGAGAAGCCGATGATATGCCAACCAATAACATCTGATGGTTTGGACGATGGGCAGTTTGAAATATTCCCATATTGTAAATTTAGAACAACCTATATAAGTGAACAATATTGTTTTCGATTAGATCCTCATCAGGCTTTACTCTAATATACAGTAATATTATATGCATACACGAAATTATTAAACCAATCAAGGTAGTTTATAAGTCAATGATAACAATGAAAACGATTACATAATAAGTGAAACGTGAAAAGTACAAATTGATGGTGTGACAACAGGTGCATTAGTTTTGATAAGAATAATAAAGGTTCAAACCAATGTTACATGATCGGAAGTAGGTCAATGACTTGTCAGTCAGTCAGTAACAACGTAGAACTTCGTACGTACGTACATCAGTTCGAGTTGCCACACCACATTAGCACAGAGATGCACTTGTCGATTCAAATCCCGTAGTGATAGAGGTAATAAGAGTATAAGCAGTAATCGGGAAGATTAGGGTTTGGAGATGTTATTTAAAGAGTATAATCCAGTGAAAGAAATTTGGAAAGAGGAAAAAAGGGACATGAAGAATTCAGAAGATTAGAGTTTGGGAGAACACAGAGAGTGGATGCACCTGCGCCATTGCAAACGATTTTGAGCCATGTCATTTAGGGTCTCTAACCATCGGTTGCTGTCATCTCGCGGTCCCCACCCAGGTAGTCTACACCTATCAACATGACTCAGTTCACTTGTCAGTGACTTCATGGACTTGTGCCATCTTTTGGTTTGGCCGCCCCTAGCTTTCTTCCAACCTACTCCTATACCACTGAACATAGCACGTCGAGGCAGTCGGTCGTTGGGCATACGTAACACGTGTCCCAGCCATCTCAACTGATGAAGTTTCACCACTTCATCAATTGATTTGCCATCCATACCTAGTACCCGTTTCCTAACAACTGCGTTACTTACTCGATGGTCCCAGGATATACGAGCAATGTTTCGAAGACACCTATGACCAAATACTAGTAACCTACGGATATCCTCTACTCTTACCGGCCATGTTTCACTGCCATAAACTAGGACGGAACGAACTGCTGCGCAGTAAACTCGTCCTTTGGTTGATAGACGGATATCTCGCCTACGCCATAAATGACGCAAGTTGGCAAAAGCTAGTCGAGCCTTCTGTATCCGTGCTGACATTTCGTCACACACCAAACCACAAGGGCTGATGAGACTTCCAAGATAAGTGAAGCGGTCGACACACTCAACTACTTCACTCCCTATCATTAGTTCGGGTGTCGATGTAACCCAATCCTGAAGCAACATTTTGCATTTCGAGGGAGAGAATCGCATGCCGAACATGCTTGCATTGTTGCTTACGGTGATCAGAAAACTCTGCATTTTGTCAGCGTTTTCACCAAATAAGACTATGTCATCTGCATATTCTAAGTCAACAAGTGAACCTCCTGGTAGAAGTTCAACCCCTGTAAATTTAGATGAGGAGAGTTATCTCTAAAAGTACGTCAATGACAAAGTTGAACAAGAATGGGGAGAGTGGATAGCCCTGACGAACACCACTTGAGGTGATCAATTCTGATGACAGTTCGCCATAAGCTCTCGCTCTACCAGTTGTGTTCGAGTAGAGAACCTTTATAAGGTTAATGTACTTCTTTGGTACTCCTTTCAGTGACAAACACTGCCGCAGGACCGTACGATCAACAGAGTCAAATGCCGCCTTAACGTCAAGAAATACTACTGTTGAGAGACGTCCGAATGTGTGTCTATGTTCTAGGACCTGACGTAGTGTGAATATCTGGTCTATACAACCACGTCCAGGTCGAAAACCAGCCTAGTTTTCTCTAGTCTTCTCGTCACGAGCTCTAGTTAGGCATCGAAGCATTATTGAAGCAAATATTTTAGACACTACATTAGTCAAACTGATTCCTCTATGATTGTCACAAGAGGACTTTTGTCCTATTTTATAGACTGGCACAGTCAGTGATTGAGACCAGTCAGATGGGATTACGTCCAGTTCCCAAATTCTACCTAAGACCTCAGTTAATCTCATTGCTAATACTGGACCACCATCCTTAAAAATCTCAGGAGTAAACCTGTCAGGGCCTGCTGCTCTCCCTCGTTTCAGATTTCCTATGGCTTTTTCAACTTCGTAAAGGGACGGAGGACCTACATTAACTTGCCATTCAGGTTGACTGGAGATCGTGGGAAGCCGAAGTGTGGCTGAAGGCCAGTTGAACTGATCCCTAAAGTGTCCTGCCCATCGATCAAATCTCCTGAATTGAGAATGTATAATATGTCCATCTTTCTGAGAGTGTTTCGCTAACGGTCGGGTTCCCAATAACGGTTTCCTTAACAAGTCTGAACAATTGTCTGCTGTTAACTATTGCCGCTGCCTTTTCCACCTCTCTTGTTTTCGCTACCCACCACTGTTCACGATCATTGCGTAGACTTCTTGTCAGCTTGCGCTTAAGCTGACTCCGCTCTTCATTATGTTCAGAGCCAGGTGGAATGAGTTTTCGAGCATCTATCAGTGCGATAGATGCTGCTGAGATCCAGTGTTGCTCCCTAACTTTACGGTTTACCTTACTAGCAGATATCACTGCTGTTTCCACAGCTTTTCGGATATCGTTCCATGCTGCCTCGGGGTGGGCATCACATACATGGCTGCCTAACTGTTTTCCTAGTTGTTCCTGAAATATATTCTTAGCTTGACTATCATTAAGTAGAGCCCTAGGAGGTTTCCTTGCAGGATCTTTCCTACGTCCAGTAAGACGCAAGCAAATACGCGCTCGCACTAGAGCATGATCTGAATTTAACCATGTGCTCCAGAATGAGCGACAGTCTTCTATCGAGCCCCTCCATCGGTGGCTGATAGCGATGTGATCTATTTGGGTCCAACGTTGGGACGAATTAGGTGGTCGCCATGTTAAAAGATGTTTTTCCTTATGCTTAAAGTTAGTATTAGCAAGGAACAGGCGGTTATCTGAGCATAGCTGCAACAGACGGTCGCCATCATCTGTTCTTTGAGCCACGACACCATAGGATCCACCTAGGTGTCTTTCCTTATCGCTTAGTTTACCTACTTGAGCATTAAAGTCACCGGCCACTATTACTACATCTGAGCGCTTAGCTTTTCGGAGAAGGTCCGAAAGCTTTCTGTACAACTCATCTTTTACATCATCTGAGCTGCAGTCAGTGGGAGAATAGGCAGAGACGACGAAGAGGCAACGACGAGTGTCCCTACCTTTTCGGATCCTCACTGTTCCGTTTAGTCGGACAGCGCACAAACGACTGTCTACTGGGATCCACTCTAAGAGAGCTAGTTCTGCCCTAGGACTCAATGCTATACCTACGCCGGCGAGGCGACGGGAAGCAGAATCAGGGCTTCCAGATACACGAAGCGTAAATCGAGTCGGTTCTTTATTTTGGCATGGTGAGGTCAAATGAATGACGCTACTTGGATCCTGTATGCACGTTTCGGAGACGCAGCACACATCGATGGCGCGAGATTCTAAAGTTTTAGCTAAGGAAGCCTGCTGTCCTATTTGGCAAAGTGTTCGTACGTTAAAAGCTCCTACGTGTAGTTTAGAGCGTGGTTTCAGGAGACCAGGAATGGCGTTCCACGTACTCGAATCGTTTGCCCTAGCGGTGCGAGGTGATAAAGAGACGCGAGGAGGGTTAGTCGGGAGGATAAGAGAGGTATTAGGAGGTGTAGGAAGGATTTGAATGTGACCAACTTTGTCTCGTGTGCTGTTAGGGGTATGAGGGCTGATGTCACTTCCCGGCTGCCCACACCGTGGAAGGGTATTTCTTGATGAACCTGAAAAGGAAATTGGATTAGTGCTGGTCTTGACGACCTGGGAGCGTGACCGCAGAGCCCAAGGGACAACTGCTTGAGGCCGGTCGCGCACGGCCTTTTTGTGGAAGGTTTTTAATGTGTTAGCTCCGTTCTTCAAAGGGCCTTACCGCCGGAGACGGAAATCCGTGAGGTAAGGTGAGGTGTGCATTTTTAGGGTCGACCTTTTCTAACCCCACCCCTCCTTGTGGGAAGGCAGCATCGCTGTCATGCTGGTTGTCTGAGGGAAACACCTTACTGCTGTCACACCTCTGTACAGTCAGCAGTACGACTTCGCCCTCAGACCTTGAGTTGCTGCTTTTAGTCTTACCGTTCGCCAATCGACCTGCCTGGCATGGTAGAACCTGCAGGAACATATGTTCCAGCCAATATAGCTCGGTTGGGTCATGACGATAGGCAAGCCCGACCACCGTGTCAAGGTAGCAGCTACGGTCGGGCAAATTGAAAAATAAAATACACAAAATGGGAACATATGAATGACGCAATATAAAATGGAAATGAATGTTACCAAATGATTGCAAATTAGTTTGCGGGTATCGTTTTCTTATGAGAGTATTTCGAGAGTGAAGGGGAACTCTCCCCACCTCGACTGTACCAGGGTATACAGGGTTCTATATATAGTAGTTTCTAACTACTATTAGCTCACATTCAACTTGCATACGCCGATCGGTTTAGAATAGCCGTATTCAACTATTTGAATAATATCGAAAAGTTCTAATTAGATTGCATATATGCATGCTTTACTTTTGACGTTTTTATCAATAGGACAATCATGTCTCTTGCTGGCTCACTGGACCTCCCATGGAATCATTATCATTGAGCTTTAATGGAACGAAAAAACACTGTACTGTGATTCCCTTGTCTTCTGAGTATTCTGGTATTTGCGTATATTCAGTATCTACAGTAATTAGGAGTGGTGGACTCAATACTCTCTGCCTAGAGCTACGTCCCCAAGACCAATCAATTGGTGAAACAGCTCAGGTATGCTTTTTTAGACATGCTGATATTCACTATGTTTCTATTTTAGTATAATGAGTCCTATTTCATGGTAATTTATAGCAAATGTTGTGTGGTTGAGCTTATTTTAAGCGTGAAGTAAGCAACGTGCAAAAAACTGGCTGTCTAGATGAATATACCTCTTTATTCAGTAACGTATCCACCATTAAGCTGAGGTTAGTGCATCCACAACTTAAAAATGTCGAAACATAATGAAACATGATTGCGCTCAGTAGTCGTTAAGTAGCAATATAAATAACTGGATCATCACTTTTTGTCGTTATCGTTACATCTGATGACTTGTAGCTTCAATCATACAAATGGTAGGAACAGTGTTCATCAAACATATTATTGCCTCACTTGATACCCAAGTACTTGTAATTTGTATGTGGTGCTTGGACTAAGATTCAAAGGAACGAAATATCTCTGCATATTGAACTGACTGTAATACGGGTTCTTCAGGCGAATATATTCTTTTTACTTTTTAAACAAACTAGGATTATAACAAAGCACATTGTACAAGATAAAGCGTAATGTCTATATTAAATAGGAACTATATCCATTGGTTTGATTGATCTGTTTCAGAGTGCATCATATGATTCAGTTGTTCTTGTTGGAGCTTACCGTATTCGTCTGGATGTAACCTCTTTAATAATGGCCTCAGTGAATCCAGTTTCCTCAACAGGAACCACTAAAGCAAGCGTGTACATCCCCAGATCAGCCATATGATATTATTAACTATGAAAAATATGGATGTTTTTTTAACCACTTTTCGGTTCCATTCTATTAAACAGATTATAAAGTTTTTAAAATGTACTTGACAGAAAATATAACAAGATATAAACGACAGTTATTATACACAAATTATTTTTTACAAAATTCTCATATTTACATGAACGATATTCATATTGAATTCAGAAAGAAAATATTGTACTAAACCGACTGATAATCATGCAATTTTTACAAACAAGTTAGGTGGTTATAATTTCTAGACCATGAGATCATTATTTGTGATGTGATGCAGTAGGTTCTCGAGAAGAAGAGGCTTGTTGTTGTGGATTTGTCTTGTTCTGACGTTGTCGAACACACATAACCAGCTGCTCAGCTGTTACAGGATACATGATACTTTCAATAATGGCTAGCATAAAATATAAAACATGGTTACTGTTTATTAACACTCTTAAATAGCCCCATGTAGTTGTCAAAAGAATTATTACCTTTTTATTGTGTAGCTATTAGATGACTGAACTAGACAGCCACCTATTCTTCTTCGATATGATGCTTAGTCTTACCGTTCGGAGTACGTATAATTTAATTGTGGAGAGCCCGTAAAACTTAGTATTACCAAGGTACAGTCGTTTGCGTAGATATTGGTTTCTCTGTCATCATTCGTGTAAAAGAAAGTTACGATTTCTCAGAAACTAACAATTAGTACTATAGTGGTCACATTAGCTGTGAGTACGGCTAAAAACTCAAGTACATAATCATCTTTGTGTTTCTCAAGTATTTTTTTATAACTGTTGAAGTGATTTTGTTGATCATTTCTCTTATTTCGAAAGTCCCGGTGGGTGACAAAATCACTATGGTTAAAGCCACTTGATTTTTGACAAATTGAGAAAACTGAATGAGTCGATCTAAGCTAGACCAGTATTGAAAACCTGGAAGCACCGGACGACCGTTTCGTCCTAGTATAAGTAGGATGTTCTAGTCTACCAAAAAACAAGTATACTGTGCATCAAGCGAATCTGTATTGATATACATCTATAAAAAATGATGTTTGGGAGTAAATTCTGAAGCAATTGTTTACTGATTAAAGTATTCAGCTTTCGATTAGCTCTGTACCACCTACTTCAGTTTAGGAGGCTGGGTGACATTGCAGTGAACGAGAACACCAGTGGAGACGACCGAATCTCTTAGTAAAACCTGAGAACCATACAGTAAATACTTCATTTGCAAAATACCAATCAATCGTCTCAGATTTTATTGTTCCTTCGTTTTCACACTAATCATTCTCTTTTCTACGATCTTGTTAACCTGACGCAACGCATTTTACTTCCGATTGATGATACATACTACTTATATCTGTAGACATCACTAGCATTCACACCAAGTGGCTCAAATAGGTGAGAAGTGGAATGAATGCGTACGTTGCAAGTATTTCATCATAAGTGTCTCAAAAGCACTGTTTACGTATCGTGGAACCAATTAGCAAGTAATGATATAGGCAACGGTTTGATCTAAGGTATGAATGACAAGTCGATCGATAAGGCTATAGACCTATATCATACTGTTTTCTCTTGAGCTAAACTTTTACAATTTGATCAATCTAAAATACATCAATTTTATTTTAAATCATCTAGATATACAACCTATTTGACAATCGAGTGTATATTTTATTTGATTTTAAACGTTCATAAAATATCAAAAACTCAATAATCAAAACTTACCGACTCCTGATTTGTGATAGTTCGGCTCTGTCTTGTCAGTGCGCACACGTAGAACTTTCCAACCGACACCAGGAACGCATATACATTCTACGATTTTTCCGTCTAAAACTTTATCACGTGAACTAATATGTGCAAGCTTGGCAGATGGCACCGTAAGACCACCAAGAAAGAGATGTCCAATGTAACCCGGAATTTCACTAAAGTAATAAAAAGATGACTGCAGTTCTCAGTGTACTAAATGATAACGATAAACAGTGTTAAACGTTAAACATTTGAACATTACTTACTTATTAACGCCTGTTACTCCTCGCGAAGGAGCATAGGCCGCTCACCAGCATTCTCCATCCATCCCTGTCCTGGGCAATCCTTTCCAGCTCCTTTCAGTTGTTATTCATCCTTTTCATATCTGCTTCTATTTCCCGACGTAGTGTGTTCTTTGACCTTCCTCTTTTCCGCTTTCCTTCAGGATTCCAAGTTAGAGCTTGCCTCGTGATGCAGTTTGATGATTTGCGTGATGTATGTCCTATCCATTTCCATCGTCTTTTCCTAATTTCTTCTTCAACTGGAAGCTGGTTTGTTCTCTCCCACAAAAGGCTGTTGCTGATGGTATCCGACCAATGAATGTTGAGTATCTTGCGTAGACAGCTATTTATAAATACTTGTATCTTCTTGATTGTGGTTGTTGTAGTTCTCCAAGTTTCAGCTCCGTACAGTAGAACTGACTGTCTTGACGTTCGTATTGAGGATTGTGACTTTGATATTGGTTGAAAGTTGTTTTGAGTTCCATATGTTCTTCGATTGCAGGGATGCGGCCCTTGCTTTGCCAAACCTCGCCTTTATGTCTGCATCTGAACCTCCTTGTCCATCGGTGATGCTTCCCAAATATGTGAAGGATTCTACATCTTCCAGAGTTTCGCCATCAAGAGTAATTGGATTGCTGTTCTCCGTGTTGTATTTGAGAACCTTGGTTTACCCCTTGTGTATGTTGAGGCCTACTGATGCAGAGACTGCTGCTACACTGGCTGTCTTTATCTGCATTTGTTCATGTGTATGCGATAGGAGGGCTAGGTCATTTGCGAAGTCCCAATCGCCTAATTGGTTCTGAGCTGTCGATTGTATGCTATGTTTTCCCTCAGATGTCGAGGTCTTCATAATCCAGTCGACCACCAGAAGAAAGAGGAAGGGAGAGAGTTGACAGCCTTGTCTGACTCCGGTCCTTGCTTGGAATGCATCTGTCAGATGTCCTCCATGCACTACTATGCACTGTAGTCCGTCGTATGAGTTCCGGATAATGTTGACAATCTTCTCAGGAACTCCGTAGTGTCGAAGAAGTTTCCATAACCACCAAACTGTACCATGGGACAAGCCCTAACTTGGAATACTGAAGTGAAAAGGAAAAAAGGAAGGCCAAAGGACACGCTGCATCGATAATTGGGAGCAGACATGAGAAGGACGAATAGCAAGTGGGAAGAATTGCCCAAAACAGAGTTGGATGGATAATGCTGGTGGGAGCCCTATGTTCCTCCACGAGGGGTAACAGGCATAAGTAATATTATTATTTAAATCGTTACCATATAATGATTCATTCGGGAATGTTCTATATGGATTTTACGATTCGAAATTTATTAGTGCCCTGTTTCAAACTTCCGTGATTTGGCACTACATAAATTGATTGATAAGGAGTAACTAAATTAGAAACCAATAGTATAGACTATAGGTTGATGAAACAGACTTTCTATTTCACACGTGATCTGAGTAATCTTGTTGGTCGATTTATTTTGCCGTCGGACCGATGAGGAATAACAATCCGGTAATTTTTCTTTTAGGATTTCAAGTTGGTTATGAACGTATATAAAAAATTGTATTGTTCCTAAATAATAATTCTTTGTAGTCACGGACCACTTATCTTCCTGTTGATCATTGAGAGATAAGTTACTAGAAGTAACAATAGTTTTTGTTAAAGGTGCAAATTCTTTTCCATGTTCTTATCAATCCCTTAAGTCATATCATTAACACATATAACGGAAAAAACAACTTAAACGAATTGTAATAGAAGAATAAGTTGTAGTCTTACCCAACTTTTCGTTGATATTCCACTTTACATTTGAAGTCAATTGTGTTCAAACTTGGAGGTTTCCATTTTAAGGTTTGTGGACAAGTTCCAAGAACATAAAAATCTTCAGGACCACAAGGCTGAAATATAAGGCCATCTGTTGAGTGGTCCAAGCTTTGCAAAAACGCAGGTTTGAGTAGCTGGAACCGAATAAAAAACATAATCGTTTGTTGACATGCGATTTCAAAGTGTGTATGAAGAAAATAGTTAAAAATCTACAAGTAAATAATAATAGTTTACTTCAAAGAAAGGTGGGACTGTGTTTTTTTCTGTGAATCAACTCACTCCTTTTTAACTTAAACTGAACTACGAAGCGGTATTGTTTACAGGAGTGCATTTCACACATTAATACTGGAAATTGTTTGTTATGACTAAATATAGTCCATTTTATAATCAAAATGAAGGAAATATACTGGTTAATCTTACCTCTTCAGTATCTTGCAGAGCGCGAAATGCTTTTCGCCTGACTGAAAAAGATTGCGTACTAAAGTCAACTAGTCCCAAGTGACCACCGGTATTTCTGGGCCATATAACTTGCTTGTCAATTGTCGAATAACGTTCAAAAAATGCAGACCGACCAACAGGTTTATTGTTTAAAGTAATTATATCATAAATTAAGAATCTAGGTGTTCCAGATATTTCTGATGTGGATATGTTAGGAGGTTTAGAATGGTCGTGACAAAGTACAAGTTCACCGTCCAAAAGCGTATTAAACAAGTGACCATCAGGATCATTTAGGAAGTCTGGACGACCAGAATTTGGACCACGTTTTTCATTTTCGCGAACCCACGATACCGTCGGAAAATGCAAAACATTTGGCTTATAAACAAAATTTCCCCGATCTATTAGATAGACACGACCAGGACCCATTATGAGCATAAGATAACGAGTGCCATCAGCCTTGTAGGTTACACAATAATCAGAGTTGACCAGAGCTGCTATATTTCGTTGTGTTATGGAGACTGGTTGACTACCTTTGAAACGTAAAGGCCTTTTAGATGGTTTTGAAGTCTTTTCGCTGCGATTTGCTTCTAAATTCTCAGGTTCTTGTTCATTTTCAGATGTTGAATCGGTTGCAGGAAACAAGTGACCCTCTATAAATAAAAAACCACCCATTTTGCACAGTTTGTCCGATAAATCGCGCGCCTCGTGTGCTTCTGGACTGTCCTGAGCCAAAACATCAACCTTAGAAACCCCTTCCATAAAATCTGGATTTCCTGGAGGCGGTGGAGGAAAGCTTTTGCTTGTAGGAACACTAAAAGGCACATTTTCTTCTATATGATCGCTTAGGCGTGATATTTTTGATGAGGAAACTGTCTCTTGATTATCCACGTTTGTACACAATTCTTCGTTTTTTCTCTTAGCTGGCGTAGATGAACTGTATTCTTCGTCCTCT